GACCAGCCTTGAATCGGTTATGAACGTTCATTGCCAGGTACATATCTAAGCTGCAAACCTCCACGCCCCCAGGCACCAAATCCCTAGTTCCCAGCACAAGGGTAAGGTTCCTCAAATATAGGATGCCTACGCAAGGTGTAAAGTGTTAGAAATCAATACCACTGGAATTTACATACCAGTATTATGTAGGAAATGCGTAATACATGGTCACATACGAGAGAAACCGACAAACTCTAGTGCAACTTCTACACCGTGCGGTGGGCGACTGTGCGTTTCAGCACGGTAATACCTTTCTGGCTACGGGAAATGCAGGGTTTCCGCGCCTAACACACATATAACTACGTACATATTTGTCAACCATGTAGTAGATATTTCTCAACACAGAAGTATATTCACTCATACGAGCACATTCCAGACAATGTGGAATGTACCCGCTGCGCCTTAAAACCTTATACAGAAAATGTTTCGAACCAAATGCTAGTACAAATCTACCTACGTGTGTAATGTCAGTATTGATGCGGTTTCCTAGTTTGCATCAAATGCACATCAATGATGATGTTGTACCAGCAAGAAGCTCGCCTTTGGGAAGCTAGGACGGTTAAGATAAGACAAAGCCTGCCTACATGTATGCCATGTTACTTTAAAAGCCTTTGTTGCATAATTGGTGCTTTTTACGGGTTGCCGTAATACTATATAAACATGCACGCACACATACACGAGTAGTAGCAACTGCCTAACTGACTGTCGAATTGAATTCTTGTATGTTCTTGTATAATTGACTCTATATATATATATACTAACATGATCGCTCGCATGTTCGCAAGATCTAGAATATAGGGTTTTTAGGGTATTAAGGTTAAGGGGACATTAGCCTAGTATTTCCGTCCTAGCAGGGGGTGTAGTCCAGAGTTTGGACAAATCCAAGAAGAGACTGGATACGCATTTACAGGGGTCCATGCGCCTACAGCAATTTTTGTCGGGGTTCCATAAGGGTTCGATCAGGGTACCTTATAGGATGTATCAGGTGAGATCTTCAATCGGGGATCCGTCGCAGCCCGGGCTATGGGCCAATTCGGTCATTTCCACCCCAAAAGGGTAGATAACCCATGGCATATGTGTATATATATATATATATATATATATACACATACATTTGTCTATACATATATATATATATATATATATGCACACGCAGACACGCAGAGACATGACATACATATATATATATATATATATATATATATATATATACATACATACATACACATACACATACACATACACATGGCAGACGTACGCAGTCGCAGAGACGAGATCGTAAATCTCCTGCTTGCTGCAGCTAGCAGCTAGCACTTATGCGCGATCGCCGGCGATAATGCAGCATTGGATCCAGATGCTAGATGAGTCTTCTATGAACAGGAATCGCCGTAGGGTTGCGACGCATCCTTCCGTGAGTCTGTCGCAGTTGCTAAGCCCAAAACTTGTTGTTCAGAGACCCTTGCTGTGTGCAGACAGCAGGGCATCGGCATGATCAGGACCCAGAACAGGGCCATCGGTTTGAAAAGAGTTGACGAGGTGGAAGCACCGGTTTGGACTTATGGAGGTTTGGGTCTAGAGTGTTGCGGCTTAGGGTCTGTCGGGTCTTTGACGGTCCAGGGTTGCGCGGTGCAGGGCTTCGGGGGTTCAAGGTTCTTTACAGCTTGCTTTACGGGCTTGTGGCCTTCGGCTTCAGCCGGCCTCTGATCCAAGAAATGTCCAAGCCGTTTGTCCGCCTCCACGTCTTCCCGAGTGCCGAACAGCCTTGCGGGCGCGGGGCTGTCTACGTTTACATGAGTCTATGTATAATCAGAATACCAAAAGGTTTTGCGGTTTGTAGTATTGGAAAACGCTGGCAATAACGGTTATACGTATTGGAATCATAACATTGCTAATCATGTTGGCTTCTATATTACTATATTACTTCCGAACGTCACAGTATGCTTCCAGATGTGCGCGGATGCATACGTCCTTATTTCAGGCCCCCAAAACCAGAGATTGGCATGTCAGGCGCCGTACATGATAAACTTCTTCAACTAACCTGCTGCCACTTGGAACCTTCCGGCGGCATCAAAGCTCCAGGTTGTACAGCCTCAGTCAACAACCTTTTCTTTTAAAGCCGGCTGATGCTTTGTCTCGGCAGCAAGGAGTCTTGTGTCCCTGGCAGACGTGTGCTGGGAGTGTGGGGAGCTTGGCATGCGCGTGGGCTATGGGAAGCTTTCGGTAAAAGGGACCCCTACTCCCAACCAACACCGCAGGTCTTGGGAGAGCCAGGTCAGGAGGAAGTCGCTCCGGTCATTGCAGGCCGGCCATGCACCATGAGCAACCCGACTATTCTGTACCATGGTGCAAAACACTCGGCATGAGTCTCTTTTTCACGTGGGTGTAGGACTGTAGGACTCGAAAGCTCCGTACTCTGCTAAAACTGGGCAATTTATGCAGTAAGGTCGGGCCTGCAGTACACATTCGAGCCACGTCTCCGTACACAGGCGAGATGGCTGGCTTTGAGAATGGCCCTTTCCCAACGATCATGCCGGTACATGCCGGTCATACACAGCTGGAGCGGCTGCCAGCTAGCTGCCAGCCGGAAGTGAAACAAAGCAGAGCCTACCTGACCTCGCCCTGGGCAGGTGCGACGGCGAGCAAGAAAGGTTAAAAAGCACCAAACATTTAATTGGAGAGGAAACCAAGTCAACCTGGGCTCTGAAGATCGAGTGGGCAGCCCTGCGGGTACCGAGCAAGAAAAACACAGCTTGGAGCGACGATCAACGCGCCTCTTGCTGTCGATTTTGGTAAGCAAGTACATGATGTGTCGAACAACTGAGGAATGAACAACAGCTGAATAAATGAATGCCGTGTTCACATATGCATACAGGTGTACAAACACAGATGCACATACACACACCGGCTTTTGTAAACTGTTAAGGCCGATGAGGCATGTATCCGTTCGTCCACTGATCCGTGGATTTACTTCTCCGTCCCCGAAAATAGCGATTGAATTTCAACATGCATACAAAAACCCTGGTTTCAGGTGCTCACATGACTGTATCCTGTTTGGCATGGCGCGGTATGGCATGGCATGGTCTGGCATGTTTGTGTGTTTTAGTTTGCTGTATAAGGGGGTTTCAGATACATCCCAAACCCTACAGTATGCCTGTTGATGTGTATCCATATATATATATATGTAAATTTATATATGTAAATTTATATATAATCTATAGAGAGAGATATGTTATACAGAGTTATACACAAGTATTAGAGCACTGGGTATTTCTCGCACCGAGCTCTAAGTCGCCGCGGAATCGCCGGAGAGCGTCAGGGCTTGTCCTCTTCTTCCGTGGTGTTTCTGCCACAACCTCAACAATTTGACCGAGCTCAAATCTCTAAACCTTCGGCCCCTAAAGCCTAATCTCCAAAGCACCACAGGGACGGGGATTCATTACACCTTGGGGACATTGCCAGCTGTTGCTATGAAGCCTTGCGAGAGCCTAGCCTCATCGAAGCGAGATCATTCCGAAAGCCCAAGGTAGTCTCTTGGGTCACCACTGTGGCTTGTAGAAGCGTACATCGGCCAGGGAATAGCTCCGCCGCAAGAGCCAAGAGCAGTAGATCACAGAGGCAACGTTGTCGGCGCAGAAAGCCTGGGAGAACTCACAGCACAGCCCTGTCTCGAAGTAAGCCGACGCGTGTGGTAAATCCATGGTCTGAGATATCTACGCGTTGCAAAGGCCTGTGCATGAGGCGATAGAACCACGACGATTCCAAACAGGGGGCGGCTTTGAGATTTTTGACACAGCTCCGAACCCTGCCTTTCACTGTTTACAGATCTGAGACGACCGAGCTGCAATTAGCACGACGACAATGCAAATGCACGCAAGGGCCGCAACATGCGAGATCAGCCAGCTACGCCTGCATCATGGGTCTCGGCCTTTCTATCACCTTGCCTGGACGGTTCATGGGGTTTGCCTCGGACATGGAATTGGAACCCTGTGGCATCTAAATACTGCAGTATAACTGCATTCTCATCAGCCGCCCTTACCATTGCCATTAGTACTGCTGCCACCGGTGCGAAGACCATGTCGCCAAAAAGCGGTGTGCACGCTGACATGTAGGCATGTGAGTCTTGAGCAATGCTACCGTACCAGAGCTCAGATCTGGGACAAGTCTTGGGAATCCCTCGCAAAGACCTCATCAAATCTGAGTTGAGCGTGGCTCCTGCCTAGTATCCGAATACGACACCAGAAACAAATATGTCGTAGTTTTCACGGCCAAGCTGCGCAGACAAAAAGCGGTTCCACAGCAGCGTGAAGAAGCTCATCGACAGTAACGGCGGCAGGGTTCTCCTGGGCATCGGTGGTAGCTGTCGGGGTGACGGGTTTCATGCGCGCTGCACATGATGTGACATGGATGGGTGTCCGAGAGGCGCCCTCCAAACGAAAGCTGATCAGGATAGCACACCAACCGACTCAGGCAGGAGAAGACTTCAAGAAGGTGCGCTCACGGGGATAGGTTATTGGGCAGCTGGCGCTCGGATGCTAATCTCCCTATTCTCGATTGGGACATCTTGTCATGCAGGCATGGTACCCAAGTGTCGGCACGGCACCATGGCAGCTCTGTCAACCGGAGAGCAGCAGAGCCACATCCCGAACACCTTCGCATTGGCAAGGCCAGCAAATCCTAGGTACGTTCGTCATGAGATACTATACAGATTTACGTAACTTCTGTAGGCGATGCATCACAACTTAAGGTGGCCACAACATGATTCTCACGATCAGGGGCATGATCTCTTTGGCAGCTCGTAACGAAGGCCGCGGATACACTTCAAAGTGATGCCCGTTCCCTACTTTGCAGGGCAGGTCTTGCACACGCTGCTTGAAGTTCAGCGAACACGTCGGCACTTTGAACTTGCACGTCTCGGCGCAAGTCGCCGAGCCATACTTACTTTACAAGTCACTCAATATAGTTCAAGCTCTTCCCCTTCTTCTTGATCTGGAACGATCTCGGGTCCTCGGTGTCTTCTCTTCGAGATCTTTGAGCAATTCCTTCAAAAAATCGCTGGCCGCTGGAAGTACTTGAACTGGAGTCTCGGGTGAGAGGATGTACTCAAAGACTCTGCGCTCTGTGGGGTCCACCTTGTTGTTGTTTTGCAGGGCCACTTTGTAGAGTTTCCGAACGCTAGTCAAGTCCAAGGGCTGCGGGCAGTCTTTGAAGGCGTCCCACACCGGTCTGTTGAGCGGCTTCTTGCTCCAAGATCTCTCGTAGTGGTAGCGCTGTTTGGATGCAGCCTTCTTTGGTTTCGCCTCGGGGCTGGATGACGCTGGACTGTCGCTGGATCCGCAGGAGCTTGCGAGAGTAAGGCACTCGGCTGCATTGTCAGGATCCCTGGCCTCCTTGTAAAACTTGACTGCATCTTTGAACCTTTGTCTTGCAGCATCTTTCTTGCCCTGCTTTTTGAGCACTAACCCTAAGGTTTTCAAGACATCGGCTTGCCGCTCCGCATGAGTCTCCAATTCGTCTTCATCCGCCTTCCCCGTTTCCAGCACCTTCCTCTGCCCTTCGATTTGTTTGAGCTTATCTTGCAACATCTTCAAGGCTCCTTCATATTGCTGCAGCTCACACAGACACATTGCCCAGCGGCATACTGTCCAACGGCTCTCCTTCGCTTCATTGGCTTTCTCGAATTTTTCCGCAGCCTCTTTGAAGCACTTCCGCGCTGCTAGCACTTCACCCCAGAAATGGAGAGCTGTGTCATTCTGCTCATCCGATTCGAGGGCCCTCTTGCACTTCTCCTCCGCTAGGTTCTGCAAAGCTACTTTTTGTTGATTGTCCTCTTCGAGTTGGCTACGTTCGAAGAGCATGCGGCCCCACGCAGCCAGCCCGACTGGGCAACCTTTTGTTTTGTCCAGCTCAGCAGCACTCTCGAAAGTGGAGTGGCTTTTTTCATACTCCTCTTCCAAGGCTAGCAGCTCCCCGAGTTTCCAAAATGCCTTTACATTCTTCGGGTCGTACAGTATGGCTTCTTTCAGGCACATTGTGGCTGCAGTCTCGTGACCCTGATCTGAAAGCACGTTAGCCAAATCGGTAAGGATGATAGAAGTGAGCCCGCCTTTCTTTGCCTTGAAGGCCTGTTCTCGTGCTTCCCATAGCTTGTCTCGTGCTTTCTGCAGGTTTGATGTCCCACCGGACTTCTTCAAGACAAGGCCCCACTCGTGCAACGTCTCTGGATGCCCTTGTCTACACTCCAGCGCGGATTTGAACCTGGAAATAGCGTCCTTCCAATCCATGGCCTTTTCAGATTTGGCAAGCCTGCAGCCCCACTCGTACCACACGTCCAGGTTCCCTTGGTCCAACTCAGCTGCCGCGTAGAAAAATTGATTGTGCAAGTCACCTGAAGCTTGGCGGGCTAGCTTCAGCAAGCCTTCAGCAGTCATCAGGTCCCCGGCACCATCGACTTCCACGCCGAAGCGCGTCCTCAGGTCGACCTTCAACTGCCGGATTCCCTCTTCCATCTCCTGCACTTCTGGTCTGAAATCCGGCTTCCCTCCAAAAGCCCACTGCAAACTGGATCTGGTGTTGGCTCTGCTCAGAGCGAGTTTGGCATTGTCCAGTTTCTGGGTGAGTTGTCCCGGTTCATTTGGCGCAACATCGTTCAAAAAGGCCAGGATGGCTTCCACCTGTTTCACCTTGTCCACGAGCTCGTCTGCATAGTCGCCCTTGACATGCTGCACGAGTTTGTTTGCTTCGCTAAGCACATCTCTCACGAGCGGCAGGATATTTTTCGCGGACCGGATGGCAGTATATACCTGCACTGCCATCATGGCGTATTCTGCTCGCAATCCGCCCAGGCTACGCTCGAGGCATGGAAGAGCTGCTGAAGCAAAATCGGACTCAAAGCGCAGACTTCAACAGCACGCACTCAAGCAAGCATCTCTCCAAATCAAGCATGATGAACATGCTTCAGTCATCTTCAGCTGTACGTGATGGTCAAGTATGGGAACTTGACAATGATTTCATGCTAAAGCTTAGATCGGCTTCCTTCCGTCATAATCATGTGCCTAATATTCCGTGACAGCAAGTGGTCGACTCACTCTCAGCCAACAAAAACTCATGTTCTGTCAAAAGGATGATTTGCGAAGAATTTCGGCCCATGCGAACCAGTGGGCCGTGCATGGCCTTCCAAGGTGTGTGCACCAATCGGCTCGCCCTCCAATCCTCGCAATAGTGATGGTGGTCAATCACAAGCAGCACCTTCCATGCCCTCTCTTTCTAAATACATATACATACATACGTATATACATGCATGCATGCAGGCATACAAACATGTATCAACTGCGCCCATGTCCCTCATCCTGATCTTCAGCTTTCAGGGCGCTGGGAAACTGTGGACTGCAATCGCCGGCGATCAGCCTACTTTATCCTCATGCAACAAATCATCCGTCGATCAGACAGGTCAGAAGTTTGGTAGGACTATACTGGTTGGGGGAGAGTAAGATGCAAAATGCACAGCACGGCCAAGCCTAGAGAACATCTGAGAGACCTTTGAGACAAAACGGACCCCCATCGCGACCGCATCTAAGCCGTCTGCGTCTACTATTTGCTGTACTGCGCACTACATGGCACGACAAATCCGATACTCAACGAGGCCTCGGCGTGAAGTCTACTTGTACGACAAACGCCACTGAAAGGCTCACAATGATTTTACGTCTGATGTACACTCAGCCGTGTCCGGCATTCCATTGCTTGAAGCCCAGCGCCGTAGCGGCCGAGTTGACCTGCTGCTCGGCACAGCCGGCGTTAGCCCTACTTAAAGACAGCTTAGGGCTTATAGGGCTTAGGGTTTAGGGCACACATTGCATTGCAGGCCCAAGGGCAGATTATGGATATGTATGGTCGTGGGCGCCAATACTGCGATTCATGTAGTGGCAGTAGTGGTGGTGGTGGTGGTGGTGGTGGTGGTCGAAGTAGTAGAGGTGGTAGCAGTGGTGTTAATTCCAGTCGTGGTGGTAGTTGTAGTAGTAGTAGTAGTAGAAGTAGTAGAAGTAGTAGTAGCCGCCACGAGTGATCAAGCGGCCGCGCAGTTGAGAGGCTTTCGAACCGGCTCGGGGCGCAACTTCTGTGCTAGAGGTCCCGACCAGGCTCCTTTTCTGAACAGTAAAGGTTTGTGCCTTCCCGAGCCATGTGCCTCTCCTTTTTGCAACAGGTGCCGTCTTGATCCGCCAGGTCCCAATTCCTGGGCCCAGACACTGTTTAAAACATTGCATCCCTGGGTAGGCGGTAGGGTTTCCACTTCCGCTCAGTGGAGGGAGTCATTAGGCCTCGGTCTCTTGATGAAAGCAGCGGATGGCGCGACTGCCAGTGCACTCACAAAACTTTGCATCACTTCGCAAGAATTCGTTCAAGACAGCATGTAGACGTTCAGTACGCAGAGACGAGCCAGTACCCTACCGGGGACAGGTTCTGACGCCAAGTCTAATCAACAAATTAGGAGTTCGCCCTCCTCCCACTAGGGGGACTGGCGGTTGGGGCGGGCCCCCCTCGCACCTGTCTCCCTTCCTCCACCCACCCACCCACCACCCACCCCCACCCACCCCCACCCACCCCCACCCACCACCCAACCCACCCACCCACCCTGTTATAGGGACCCCTGGCGATCTGCGAATTTTTCTAAGCCTTAGGGTGAACCTTACGGGGACGGCCCTTGCGGTTTATGATTTGGGCACTAATTTCTAATACAGACCTGTAGGGAGACACTTTGAGCGATCCGCGATTTTGCGACCTGCGTTTCTTCCAAACCTAATGGAACACCCCTTGCGCGCCCCAGCCCCCAGCAGCCCACCACCGCATGTGTTGGCAAAATCTGGCGGAAGTGAGCCGCCACCGAGCAGAAAGCCTGTAAATACCGCGTTAAAACAAGGGCTAGGGATTTCACACATCTGCTGGCAAAATCTGGCGGAAGTGAGCCGCCATCGAGCAAAAAGCCTGTAAATACCGCATTAGACAAAGGGCCAGGAATTTCACACATCTGTTGGCAACATCTGGTGGAAGTGCACTGCGACCGAACAAAAGGCTGATCACAGCTCACTTCCGCCAGATTTTGCCAACAGATGTGTAAAATCCCTATCCCTTTGTTTAATGCGGTATTTACGGGTTTTTTGCTCGATGGCGGATCACTTCCGCCAGATTTTGCCAGCAGATGTGTGAAATCCTTAGCTCTTGTTTTAACGGGGTATGTACCTGCTTTCTGCTCGGTCGGAGGCTGGGCGTGCGGAAGCAGGCAGGCGTGGGCTGGGGGACTGGCATTTGAGCACCCTCTCCTCCACTACACACCTTTCTCCCTTCCTCCACCCACCCACCCACCCCCGGCACCCCCCCACCCGATTCAACCCTGCCGGGGGACATCCCTTGCGGTTTGATGATTTCGATACCTGTTTCGCGCAAAAGCCTGTAGGGGGATACCCCTTGCGATCTGCGAGATTTTATCAAGCCTTAAGGGGAACCTTAGCCCTTGCTGTTTATGATTTGGGAACTCATTTGAAACACAAACCTGTAGGGAGACACCCTTTGCGATCCGTGATTTTGGGTTCTGCGTTTCTTCAAAACCTAACGGGACACCCCTTGCGATTTATGATTTTGGGATCTATCTCGCGAAACAACCTGTAGCAGTCATTTCTTATGGAGGATGAGGTGGACGACTTTTCTTTCCGGAAGCTGGGGGAGCCCTGGCTTCTCTTGCTCGGAGCGAAGTCTTTTCAATCTTCTTAAGATAAAGGCGACTTACCAAGAGGTAAAGGCTCTCTCTGTTAGAATGAAGCTCTCGTCTCTTACCAAGAATAACTTGGGGTGAGCTCTCTTCCTGTTTCACAGGGTAAAGTAGGGGGCTTGGGCTTCTCATTTCCTTGTGAAAGCCGCCGGGAGGACCAGCCTTTCTCTTGTCAAGGTTTGAAATTTGGAAAAGCTCCACCCTTTCTTCTTGATCGTAAGCTCCCTTCCATGTTTTCTCAAGAGGAGGAGATGGTCAAGAGCTGTCGCTCCTGACGAAGAGAGAAAGAAGTTTTCTTCTTATCGCCCGAGAGGCAGTCGGAGCTCTCTTCTTTCTCGTGATGCTCTGTTATATTGCCACGAACAACCTGGGGGAACTCTCTTCTTGTTTTGGAGCATGGGGTCTTTTCTTTTGAAGGCTGGCGACTGATAAGAAATCTCTCTAGAGAAATCTTCTCTGGCCAAGACTGATGTGGAATGAGAGAGCTCTGTCCTCACTTCTTGAAAGCTATCTCTCTTCTATCCCTTGGAGAGGAAGTGGTGGCGACAAGGGGCTCCCCTCTCTTATTGTCGACTAAAACGCAGCTGGAGTTCTCTTATTTCTCGTGAAGTTCGACGGGTTTCTTTTCTGATTCAGAGGATGGGGTAGAGGGCTGCTCTAATCTTGTTGAAGGATGAGGGGAGGATCAGGCTCTTCTTTTGAAGATTGAGAGAGCTCTGTCCTCACTTCTTGAGAGCTATCCCTCTTCTATCCGAAGCGGGGGCGACAAGGAGCTCCTCTCTCTTAGTTTCGACTAAGAGGCAGCAGGAGTACTTTTATTCCTCGTGAAGTTGGAAGGGTTCTTTGCTCCTTGGAGATGTTGCGGTACAGGACTTGCTAGGGGATTTCTTCCTTACCCATATAGGGAAATGAAGCTCGTGCCTTGTCGATGACTAGGTCAAGGAGCTCTCTTGTCTCTCGTTCGTCTTCTTGAAACTGGAGGAGCTTTGAGCCTTGTCTTCTTCGACTTGAAGCGAGCTCCCTTCACTTCTCTTCAGAGGGGATGGAGACTTACCAAGAGGTAGAGGGGCTCTCTGCTAGAAATCAGCTGAATGACTTGGTGGGACTCTTTCCGTGTTTTCGTTGAGGGTTGGTGGAATCTCCACCTTTCTCCTTGAGTGTATGCCCTTTTCCATCTTTTGAAAAGGTAAGGGGAATTTTTGGGATCTCTGTTCCTTGCCAAGAGAGAAAGGACGTTTCTTCTTGCGCGTTTCCTTTCCATCTTTTGAAGAGGTACAGGAAATACTCAGGATCCAATCCCCTGATCAAAAGAGAAAGGAGTTCTCTTCTGCCGACCGATGGGAAAACGGAGACCTTTGAATTCTCGTGAGGTTGGAGGCGCCGGTCTGCTGTGCGGAGATGGAGCTCTCTTGCGTCTCATTACATGGGAGGAAGCTCTCAGTCATTTCTTGTGGAGGATGAGGTAGAAGACTTTTCGTTTTGGAAGCTAGAGGAGATCTGTCCTTTCTTGCTATCTCTTCGACCTTCTTAGGACTAAAAGGCGACCTGCTAAGAGGTGAAAAAGCTCTCTGCTAGAAGGATGCTCTCTTCTGTTGCCACGAAGAACCTGGGGACTTTCTTCTTGTTTTGCAGCATGAGGTCTTTTCCTTTTGAAGGCTGAGGGACGACTAGATGTCTCTAGTTGAAAATTGGGGGGAGCTCCACCCTTTCTTTTTGAAGGCATGTTCTCTTCCATCTTTAAATAGGTCATGGCAATGATCAGGAACCCCTCCCCTTCTCAAGAAAAAAAGGGAGCCTCTTCTTGCTGACCGAGAGGTAAACGGAGCCCTCTTCTTGCTCGTGAAGTTGGAGAGGCTTGTTTGCTTTGTTGAGATGGCGCTTTCTTCTATCCCATTAGATTGGAGGAAGCTCTCAGTCTCTTCTTGTTAAGGATGAGGCAGAGAGCTGCTCACGTCGTGTTGAAGGCTGAGGGGAGGATCAGACTCCTTTATTGAAGATTGAGAGAGCTCTGTCCTCACTTCTTGAGCTATCTTTCTTCTATCCCTTGAGGAGGAA